GCCTTAGCGGGACGTGCTCCGGAGTTGCGGCCCGATCCGTTCCTGCTTGCTCAGGCTCTTCCACGCTGTCCTGCAGGATTAACCTAGAAACGTGCCCCTTATCCCATTAGCAGCTTGAAGGATGCAAGCTGGAAACGTAGTGTACTTTTCAAAGCCCTGAATCTAGTAGTTGCTTTTGAGTCAGTGCAAAGAGGGTGTGAGGTGCTTCGTTACCCAAAGGCTGACAAGTTGTCCGTGCTGTGCTCAAAGCTGTCCAAGAACCTGTCCCGAAAACTTCTCTTATTTTACAGGCATTGACTTTGTGCAGAGATGTCAGCCAAGATATGCTGTCCTTGTATGCCAGCACAGCTGCTTGGAGTGAACGGGGTGCTCTTAGTCATTCAGCTGCTTTGTGGCCCTTAGGGCTAGAAATCACCTTCCCAAACCTGCTAATGGAAAAAGAGGAGAGAGGAAATTGAGGCCCGGACAGGTAGATTGTACCCAGCACTTGTGGGAGAGCAGTGGGAAGGCTGTTTGCCCAGACAGACAGTCGGATTTTCTGGGCCGTTCAGCCTGGCTGGACCCAAGTGGCTGTTTCAGCCTGCAGGCTTGGTTGTAAGGATAAAAATCCTCCCCTGTAATCCTGCCTTTAAACAAGAATAAATCTGGGATTAGCCTGCCTGAGATGGTTAAGAGAGTAACATGTTGCATAAGCAGTGGTGAGCAGTGGGCCCTGTCTGTGCCCTCAGGGCAGGATGAAGCCCCCAGGTGCTCTTAGAAAAGACTCGCCGTTCTCTGGTGCTCTTGTTTCTCTGGGGAGCCGGAATGATTTCCTCCCGGTGTTTCTCCCTCTAGGCTGAAGACCCGCCATGCCCAGCGACCCGTGAGGAAGAGGAGGAGGTGGTCCGTGTGCTGACTCTGCCTCTGCAGGCTCACCACGCAATGGAGAAGATGGAAGAGTTCGTGTATAAGGTACAGGAGTTTGTAGTGATCCCCCGGCCCTGATTTTGGAGAATGAGAGAAGCCCAAATGCCCCGGAGTGGGGTTTGGACCGCGTCGCTCTGCCTGGCCCCGGGTGAGGAGAGCGCTGCGCAGCCGGGCGGCTCTGCCTGCAGTCTGCTCTGGCTCTGCTCGCCACCTGGGCCTGGTCCCAGCAGTGTCTCCGGGGAGCGATGTGGGAAGTGGATGACAGCAGCTGGGAAGCGCCAGCGTTCCCAGTCGGCAGCTGGAGGTTGTGTCTAGCCCCCTCGGATTAGCGGTAACCTCAGGAGCGGTTTGGAGAGCGCCGGTGCCTCTGTGGGCATCCAGGCAGGGATGGGGAGCGTGAAGCACTGCTGCCAGTTTGCCTGGTGCCTCCGCTCTGCCCCAGGCAGAGCAGTGCCTGCACTCAGCCACCACTTTTGGGTGAGCAGTGACACAGGTGCCTTGGGTGAGGCCGAGACCCAGGGCACTTCTGTCACTAGAGATCCCCTTTCCCTGACCAAACTCAAAGGGAACTCCCTGCTGCAGAGAACAGAGAGATTGCTGATGGTGTTGATGGGTTAAATGCAAGGGTGTGGATCATCTTGAACTCCCCGGGGGTGGGGGGAAATGTGGCGAGTGCTCTGCAGGATGTGGGTGGTTTAAGGGGTCCCATAGGGTGTCTGATGTTGCAAAAGTTGAACTTCCTCTTCCAAGGGAGAGTTACAGGGACCTTTTCAGCCTTGGCCGTAGGGAAGAGTCTTGGTGGTTTTGTTCCATGTGTGACTTTGAGCTGCCTGGGGCGAGTAAACCAGGGCCTCTGGGTTGGCTTGATGCTTTGGCAAGTGCCAGCCCCAGTGGTCACCAGCATGGGTTGGTGTGTTGCAGGTGTGGGAAGGGCGCTGGCGTGTGATCCCCTACGACGTGCTGCCCGACTGGCTGAAGGATAACGATTACCTCCTGCATGGACACAGACCTCCGATGCCGTCCTTCCGAGCCTGCTTCAAGAGCATCTTCCGAATACACACCGAGACGGGCAACATCTGGACGCACTTGCTAGGTGCCTGAGGCGGGGCTTGAGCTGAGGACTCGGAGGACCCTTTCCCGCAGGCTTTAGGGGCTGGCTAGGGCAAGACCAGGCTGCGCTGTGGCCGTTCTACCAGTGCTGCTTGGTGGATCTGCCAGCACAGGTCAGATGAGCTGTTTCTACTCTAGGGAAGGAAAAATGTACGTTAGGTGTAACAGATACTTCATAACGCTTTCCTCTGAAACTCAGGAACGGGCTAGCAGCCCTTAAAATAACCCTGAGCCTAACCATGCCTCTGACCCTGCCATCCCACGAGGTTCCTCTTGCCTCTGCTTGTCTGCAGTAACTAACAGGCCTGCTCCCAGGCCAGCCCTGCGCCGGGACAAAGCCGGGGAGCCGTTCCTCCCGTGTACGTGGGTGGGAGATTGTCCCTGTCTGTTGCACGTCACCCACCCTGCCTTGCTGCCAGCACTCGCAGTTCACTCTGCTTGTCTTTCAGGGGGGTTCATCTATCACACACCCACCGTCAAGGCTGGATGGGGTGCGAAGGGCCCCTCTGCGTCCGCCTCATTTAACTGACTGCTGGCTTGGTGTGTTGTCCGCAGGTTTCGTGTTGTTCCTCTGCTTGGGGATCCTGACCATGTTGCGGCCCAACATGTATTTCATGGCTCCTCTCCAGGAGAAGGTGGTGTTTGGGATGTTCTTTCTCGGAGCAGTGCTGTGCCTCAGCTTCTCCTGGCTTTTCCACACTGTCTACTGTCATTCGGAGAAGGTCTCACGGACTTTTTCAAAGTGAGTCAGCGAAAGTGTGGTTGAGTGGTCTCATACGCGGTTTTGACTTCTCACAGCATTTCCTCTTGGAAAAGGCTGCACTGCTGAGTCCCAAATGTTTTATACTTGGGGGAAGAGAGAGTTCAGCGAATCCAGTGTGAAGTTCAGAGGGAACCACAGCTGGATCTTGGATGGCTCTGCCCTGTGCTGGGGCACCTTGAAGCTGCTGACTCAAGGGCCCCCAAGAACATTTGGGTTTCTGAGGACAGGGACCCTGGGAACCTGTGGCTCCCAAGGCCTTTGTGCCTCTCGTGGCAGTGAAATGAGGAGGGGTCTCAGTCTTGCGGGGCCGCCATGGGACCAGAGAGCTTCTAGTTTACTGGATGTTTTCAAAATCTTTGGTTTGGGTCCAATTTGGCTGAAACCAAATCGGAAGAAAACAAAACAAACAGAACTCCCAGCAAAGTGGAAATGTTGGGCTGTGGCCAGTGCTCCTCTCTGAGGTCAGCACGTAGACTTAAGCTCACGTCAGCCTTCATGGCACAGGGAGAACGGCAGCAAGGCTTTCATGTAAGACCTTGCACACGCAAGTCTATCAAAGGTATTTACTCGTGCGCTGCTTGCTGGGAAATCCTGCCAATCTCCTTTGCACAACTCCAGAGATCTTATGGGCCCGCGTTCTTCTGAACAGGCAGTACTGCAGCGCCCTTAGCAGAAACGTCCTTGTGTACTCGGGGAGAGCACTCGCACAGCTGCCATGGTGGGGAGGGTAACACAAGTGGCTGCATTTTGGTGGTAAAATGGTTCCTGGATCGATAGATCGAAAGCACTTTGCAGTGAAGGACAGCAGTCAAATCCATATGTGCAAGGGCTAATGCCCACTGCATCCTGCTGTGGCTGCTTGAGTGCACGTCCTCTCCTGCCAAGCTCCACTTCCATCCTCAGAAGCCACAGGCCTGGGATCCTTCTCCTGTCTCCCCTCTGCATTGAAGAGACCTGAATGTGCCCCTCTCCTCTGTGGACACACTGCTTCAGACTGGCCATGGTGACTCCGTTAGGGCGCAGAGAGGGTGGAGGGTACCAACACGCTGTTGCTAAGAGGACACAGGAGGGGGGTGGGTTTCCAGGCTCAGTTGTGACTCTCTCTTTGCACCCTGGTTGCAGGCTGGATTATTCAGGAATTGCACTGCTGATCATGGGGAGCTTCGTCCCGTGGCTCTATTACTCGTTCTACTGCTCCCCGCAGCCAAGACTCATCTACCTCTCTATCGTCTGTGTCCTGGGCATCTCTGCGATCATCGTTGCTCAGTGGGACCGTTTTGCGACCCCCAAGCACAGGCAGACAAGAGCAGGTAGGAGAGCCTCGTGCTCACCCTGAGTCCCCCGCCCCTGCAGGGAACTCAGCAGGGCTTTGGACAGACACTGCAGAAAAATCTTCCTGTGCTGCAGAGCCTGTGCTAGACCCTGGGCTGGTCATATGTTCTCTGGGACTCATTGTGTCTCCCAGGCAGCAGCTCCTCACCCAGCTCCCTCCATCTCTTCTATGGCAGCATCTCACCTCCCCTGTCCCTGCTGTGGGCACCTGTACAGAGAGAGCTGCTCCCAGAGGGCCTGCATGGCTGGGATCCCAGAGCAAAGCTCCTGGGTACCCCAAAAAGCTCTTAGCACCTGCCCATGCAGAATTAGTTCCCCTAGACCACCACACTGCCTTGCAGCAGCTTCCAGCAGCAAGAGGTCTCCTCCTTCCTCTCGCTGTGCCAGAGGCTTACATCTGCGGCTGAGCAGGGCCTGGCTGCTGGCCGGCCCAGCAGGCCTGAGCTCCACCTGGCACTCAGCACCCCTGAGGTTTGGAACAGGCAGACAGAGTTTAAAAATAGCCCCGTAAGTGGTGGTTGGGAGGCTTGGGGCTGTAGTGCGAAGCCGCCTTCTCTGGGAAGAAGGCTCTGAAAAGCACATCCCGGCAGATTAAAGCAGCTTCACTAAGCACCAGTGAGCATGGAGAGATGCCTCTGCTTGCACTCACCTCCCAGGGGGTCCTGCAGCAAAACATCTCTCGTAGCCTCATCCTTGCTACGTGGTGAGAGACGTGCTGAGCAGGAGGCCAGGCAGCACAACTGGCTTGTGACCCACATGAGCGCAGTGTGTTAAGAGCTCCTCAGAAGAGGACAGGGGACAGGATGGGACTCCCAGGCCCGCTGTTATCCCCGCGGCAGCCCAGATTCTCACTCTTGGGTGTTGGTGTTGACATGTGGCTGGATCACAGCTCCCTGCTCGTGGAAAGAGTTGCTTTCCTCCCCAGGTGTGCAGTGAGACTGCTGGCTGGGCCAAATCCTCCCTGCCTGCTGGGGAATCAGCCTCCTGCTGCGAGTACAAACCACAGCCTCTCCGGGCTGTTCTCTCACTGCAGCGCTGCTTGCTTTCTGCTGAATTAATTAGATGTGAAAGCTGAAAATTTCAGCACTGCTAATTAGCCCCTTCCCTTTGAGCTCCATGCAGCTTCACTGAACAAACGACTCTCTCGTCAATGGGCTGGCTGGGGCTGTTCCTGGGCTGCGTTCCTCGCGCTTGTAAGGCTTTGTGCGCGATCCAAAGGGCTGACGCCTTCTGAAAAGGCCGTTCCGTGGCCAGGAGCGGAGCTGTGGCAAACCTGCAGCAGGTGGAGAATGCTCATCCACAGGGCGAGCTCAGTCCAGCAGGCACTGGGGGTCAGCACTGCTTCTGACTGGGATGTAAAGCTGTAAATCGCTCATTCTGTGAAGGATGACCATGGGGGTTGGATGTTTCAGGACTGAACAAAGAAAAGCTGCTAGTTCCTCTGGAAGCTTCCCTTTGTGCAGGACAAGGGTGTGCGGGGAGCTGGTGGGAGGAGAGCTCTGTCCATGCCAGGCTCCCTTTTTGCCAATTTCTCCTTTCCACCCTAGGCGTCTTTCTGGGATTGGGGCTGAGTGGCGTCGTGCCGACGATGCACTTCACCATTGCTGAAGGGTTTGTGAAAGCCACCACCGTTGGCCAGATGGGCTGGTTCTTCCTCATGGCCGTGATGTACATCACGGGAGCAGGGCTTTACGCCGCCCGCATACCCGAGCGCTTCTTCCCGGGCAAGTTTGACATCTGGGTGAGTGTGGCTCCTGGCGGGATGAGGTCTGGGCAGAGGTGGTGAGCGGGGCACCTCAGGGAAGCAGCTGTGAGGTTGGGGGTGAAAGGATCTGGGAGGTAGCTTTTCCTCTGCCCTGAGATGGGGAGAAGGTGGCTGGGAGGTGTCCTGCCACGGGGCAGGCTGTTGTGGTGTGCTCCAGCGTGTGTGCTGGCAGCTTGCCCTCAAATGGCTGCAGAGAGCAGGCAGGGCAGGGCTAAAATACAGAGCAGAAAATGCTGCCCCAGAATAACAAGGGAGAAGTAGTGCAGCTTGGAGGACAGTTTTGGGGTGGTGCAGAGAGCAGCATGGAGGAGGTCTTCCTGGCATTAAGTCTAACTCGAAGGGCTTTTTTGCTTCCCCGCAGTTCCAGTCGCATCAGATCTTCCACGTCCTTGTGGTAGCTGCAGCCTTTGTCCACTTCTATGGCGTCTCGAACTTGCAGGAATTTCGTTACGGACTCGAAGGGGGGTGCACAGATGACTCTCTCCTCTGAGAACACCTGGTGATTTTAGTACAAGCTTCCTAAGTGCTTTTTAAACTCTGTCTTTGCTAAAAAAAAAAAAAATCAAAAGAAGACTCAAAACTATTTGGGGTTGTTTTTTTTTTAAAAAAAAAGAAAGAAAAGAGAGAGAGGAAAAAGAAACAGAAAAATTCTTAGTGAAGTTCCTGTTGACCAAATCCTCACCCCCTTTCCCATGCACTTTGCTGGGGCAGAGGGGAGGCGACAGAGGCCCCAGCAGCCATCCCTGCCGTGTGCTCTCAGGTCTCGCCTCCTCCAGACAGTGTTTGAGCTGCACCAGGGTCGTCTGACCCTTCCAGGCATGCTGATTACCAAAAGCAAAGGGCACGGATACCCCACTCCCGGCACAGCCGAGCATCCCCTTCCGTAGCTCACACCGGAGCAAGCAGAGTCACGCACTACCAGGCCGAGGGCCGGAGATTTTGCATATCCCTTTGCAGCAGAGCTGCCTTGCTGGGGGCAGCCCTACACCCCCCAGTGCTGCTGCCCAGGGCCACAGGCACAGATTTATGTAACTTAAGTTTTAATTGTCTTTTTTTTTTTTCTTTCCTTGACAAAGTAATGTAAACATAAATGAGAGAATATTTAATATTTAATATTAAGCTTTAAAAAGACTTGCTGCCACCGCAGTGTACTCAGCTGCCTTGCTGTCTGTGGTAGTAAAAGAAGGACAGTGTTTTAGGAGAATGTAGAGCTGCTGTAGCTGATTGAAATAAAAAGGTTAATAGTTATTGTTGTGCTGGTAGTGTCTGTCTTGTTTATTGGGTGTCTGGTGTCCAGGGGCCTGGGAGGTGCTCCTCTCTAGCTGTGCTATTGCAGAGATGAGGTGGGGAGCTGTACAGCTAGAGGCTGGCTGTGGCTGTGCTTCTGGGTGGTGGGATGCAGCGTGAAGTCTCCCGGAGCGCTGTCTGCACTAATCCAGGTACCCATGGGTTGGGTGTAGAGAAGGGACAGGGTGCAGGTAGCTGCTGCAAAGCAGGCCTTGAGCACCCTCAAGGGGAGGCTCCCCACAGCCAGCACTCAGGAGCACTGCCAAACCTGTGAAGTGCTGGGTAGCAATGGGAGTCCTCCTAGCTGCAGCAGTGAATTAGGGCAGCCTAAACATCAACCACAGGAAGTTCTTGGGCATTGCAGTGATCGATAACAGAGCAGGAAACCCTTCCCCAGCCACCAACTGTGCGTTTCCCCCCTGGGCAGTAGGAGGTGCTGCCTTTCCTCTGATCCTGAGGACAAGTCAGATCAAGGGGGAGGACAGGCCAGGAGCTCTCCCTGCACAGGAAGGGCCTTTCAGCTGATCAACAAAGGCCCTGCTAGCCTACAGGGCATACAGGAAAATAAAGCTCATCTCAGGCCGCTCAGGCCTGCTGCCTTACAGAGGGGTGAGGGGTTCCTGGCCTCCCAGGCAGGGCCACTTTCTCCCCTGTGTCACAGCCTGTCCCCAGGAGGTCCCTGCTGCCTGCCAGCCACTGCTGGAATAGTTTGTGTGGCCTGTGCATGGTGACCCTTTCTTGAGGTGTTCAGATGTGGCCTGGCTCTGGGAACTGCAAAGGCTGCTCAACTTACAACCAGTCCTGCACTCTCCAGGTCACAAGCCCGGCTGAAGTCTGCTCTCAGACAAAACACCTAAGACAGCCAAGACATCACCTGCATGTTTCCAGGCTGCTGCTTAATTATGGGCAAACAGCTGCCCCTCTGCGTTCAGCGTGCTGCGGGCACAGCGCTGCTCTGAGCAGAGGGCTCCTGAGCTCCTGCAGGCCTGGCTCTGCCTGGCAGCCGGCAGTGGCACATGGCCATCCTGGGATCACTCAGCTCTTGGGCAGAATGAGCTAACCTCGTGCCAGGGGCAGGGGGGCAGAGCATTGCAGTAACGACAGCAGCCTGAAATAGCCTCAGTTGAGTCATATTTCCTTTCCCCAGCAAACCCCTAAGGATACTTCTGTGGTGCAAGAGTCAGGCTGGCAAATAAAATCCTCAAGCTGTGGGTTAACAACAGCTAGGCAGCAGCTGGTGTGCTCCTGCTGCCCAGCCCCCTGGGAGACACATGGTTTTCAACAATGGTAGAGAGCTCTAATCCTGCACAGGGTACAGAAGAAAAAAAAACGACTGCTGATTAACATGCAGATTTGGATAGACAGGGGAGGCTCCACTGAAGAGAGTGTAATTTCCTCTCAAATACCAGTGACTTGCCCCCTGTTCTCATGGCTGGGATCCCAACTGAGAACAAAAGAGAGCACTCTCTGGCTGAGTGACATAAATCACAAAAATTGTCTTTACAATTCACCTGAGGAACCAAGTAAGCAGCAAAGCACGGCAACATGTCTTCACAAACACAGTGCTTTTTTGCTAAAGAGTTTTGAGAACTACACACCAGCGCAGCAACTAAACTAAATAGTAAGGTACCAGGCAGTCAGAAAGCAAGGCACAGTAGTCCTGGAGAAGTCTTAGGACAGGCAAGATGATGGAAACAGGCATGGAAAAAATCTCACTTTTACAGAATGACAGGACATAGGAGCCCTACATTCAGGATCTTGCTCTTGCATGCACACATCATACAATCCTAATTCACCCATTTACCAAATGTTACAGTGACCACTTTTGCATCGTGTTCATCCCCTCTTCCTACTAAATAGGTTTGATTTAGTTTCTTCATAGAGGGTACAGAGATTAAGCACCTTCCTGGGCAGACAGAAAGCCATGAAGTAGCTCAGAGAGTATTACAAAAGCAAGTGTGTGAGTATGAACATTCTACCAAGAACTGCCAGCAAGCAATAGGGTTAACCAGGACATACAACAGAAAACCCTGCTGGGTATAATTTTATAACTGCTGGAAAGAGGGAACGTGCCTCCATGACTGGCGTTTTAAGAACAAAAACATGGAGTAAATGTTGTACTTATGCTTCTTTCCAGAGCAGTTGGAGAACAGCATCCAAGATGTCAGGGCAGGAAAGGCTGCACTGACAGCATGCATACAGGTAGAATTTCCTTCACCCCTCCGGCCTCACAGACCTACATATTTCTTCTTCTCTCTTTTTGTTCTGGGCTCCTAGAGCCATCTGCTCACTGAACAGTTCTAGGAGGGGAAGCTTTCTACACTGTTGCCTTTTGAGCTTGTTGCGGGAGCCACCGTAAGCAGCAGTGGAGCTGAAGCCAAGGCTGTGGTCTCAGCACAGCAGCAGAATTACTGAGCTGCCACCTCTTGCAAAAAGGGGCTCGGGGCCTCGGCAGTTTAGAGCAAGGCCAGAAGCGTGCTGCAGCCTGCGATCCACAACAGAGATTCTGCTTTAACTGAAGAACTTATTTTGCATGGCAATAATGTAGAAAACATAGAACAAAGTGAAAAATATACTGCTGGAAGTAACTTTCACTGGCTTGCATATCCTCCCAATAATACTCGCCTCAGGAGTGTAAAACACGACTGTATGTAGATGTATTCTTTGCCTTAAGCTGAAATCTGTGTTGCAACCTAAATCTCATAGGGAAGAGGCTAAACTCCAGATGCTTTCATTGTTGATAGTTAATGCCACATCTCAGAGTAGGCTCCAAAGAAATTCATTTCAGTCCATGTCCAAAGGATTACAAGACTCCATTTGGTCCTTGTCTTAAATCTCCATGTATTCTATCAGCCATGTATTAACATTACAGCAATGGAATCTGTTATGAATAAATATATCAATCATCTTCTAAAAGTTCTCCTGTGCAGCTTTACACTGAAAAGTGCTGAAGATCCTCTTGGCATAGTTTGTATAAGAGACTACCACTGGTGTTACAACATACCGCATCTTGGTCCTCCAGCATTTTAAATTACAGCTCACGTAACAATATGAACTAGCAGAATGAGGATAATCACTGGTATTGTCTGTAGTCACTAAATGGAGAGGGCTGCAACTGGGAGGGGTCATCTGAAAATTGAGGGCCTGTGAATAAGGCAATAGAAAAAAGGCAAATAAGAAACACAAAAAGACAAAAGATTCTTCATACTAAAAGCATAATACACGGCCACAGGTGTGTTTTTAGATATAAATCCCTTCTAAAATTAATGAAGCCAATAACAAGACTTTACATTGGATTTTTTTCACTCAGAGAAGTTCAAGAGCTTTGTGCACTGATAGTCTCGTTCCAATAAGGAACATATTTTTAACTCTTTTATGTATAGGGAAATGAGTCAAAGCAGAGGAAGGCAAACGTTTTCAGTCACCTAAAGGAGCTAGAAACCTCTGCCTTACTGCCCTTCAGTTGAACTTGGGCACCTTGTTCAGTTGAACTTGGGCACCTTGTAAAAGTCTACCCACAGTAACTTGCCCAACAATAAAGAAAGCCAGCGGAACGGAACAAATGATTGTGGAGTCAGCTTCCCGACTCATCTTACTAACATGCTGTTAGAGGGAAGCCATGCTTTTTGCTGTACGCCAATTTAAGAGAGAATAAATTGTAACGCTCAGATGATACCCTTTCCCTAAAGCAGGTAATTTTAAAATGTTTTATTACTATGAAATTATAATAATTTAGACTGCACAAAGAACACTAGTGAACAAACCTGAAAGAGGGAGCCTATCAGGAATTAGCGGCTTAGCACTAGATCTTTCAACACCAGTGTTTTTGTCTACATTCCTTCCAAAATAAAGTGGGGCAATTCAGGCTGGTATGTCACTTTGATTTGTACTGCCCAAAGAGCGCACAGCATTACTGCAACCAGGGTGCTACAATAAACACAGCTGTATCTACACAGCTTTTATCATAGCACAACCATAGGTCAACCAGCTTTGCATATCCTGAGCTGTCACACTTCCTATTTCCTTCTCTACACTCTGGAAAACATAGCCATCTCATTAGAAGAACACACACAGTGCATACACATAGACTATAATACCATCAATGCAGAAGTCAGTACAGTCTAGGATTTCCCACCACTCTGAACTGTAAGAGGACTGGTCACTCTTACCATATATACATTAAAGAATACATATGGAAAGCACTGTCTCCTCAGCAAAACAGTCACGACTGGGTTTTGGAAACATAACCAGATTGCTGCTCTTAGGCTGCAGGGA